ATGTTTGGTTTTATTTATAGGTAATTCTTTGCATAGGCTGCTAAATTAAGACATGGGGATACCTTAGAGATCTAGATCCCTCCTTTGACAGATGAGAAAACTGAGGCCTATAGAGGAAAAGGAACTTGCTCAGGTTTACAGAAGTACTAAATAGAACTGGGATTTGAACTCAGGACCTCTGACTCCAGTACCCTATAGGTTGTACTATATACATTTGTACCCTATAACTATTTTAATCTGGGACTGAGAAGCAGTGAGGAACAGTGAAGCCTGGTAAGAAATGAAATTTCATTCATGAAGACATCAGCTTCATTGTAATAATGAATTAAAACAGTACTTATTAGCTTTTTCAGTTGTGTCTGACTCTTTGTGATCTCATTTGGGGTTTTCTTGGCAAAGATACTGTATAGGTTGCCATTTCCTTTTCCAGCTCATTTTACAGTTGAGGAAACTGAGGCAAATAGGGGTTAAGTGACTTGCCCAGGGTCACACAGCTAGCAAGTCTACTTAACCGCTTGGCTGCCTGAAATTATAACTTATGTTTACTTATGTCTGTGTGTTGCAGCCCCCAGTAGAAGGTAAGTTCAGAAAAAAGGAATTGATTTTTGTTTTGTCTTTGTCTCTCCCATGCCTAGCACAAAGTAGGCACCTAGTAACATGTTTATTGAATCCAGTCTCTCAGAATCTTAATTCAAGGGCCAATGCTCCTCTGAAAGCTTCCCCCCTTGCTTATGTACTCCTCTCTTACCAACTTACTTTCTATTTACTTTGCCATGTATATGCTGAATCCCTCCCTCCTCCCTAGGGCGTAAGCTCCTTAAGAAAAAGGACTTTTGTTTTTATCTTTGTACTCCCAGATTCTTAGACAGTATGCTTCATACATAGGAGTCACTTATAAATGTTTGCTGTATTTAATTGCCCCTTTTCAATCACAGGGAACAAAAGTCAGTTCTCATTTATTTGTGCCAAGGGAACAGAGCAACATCCTTCATGGTTCAAAAGGATCGTTAATCCCAAACTCATCTGTGTTCGGGTTTGAAAGGAAGTTTTGTGTTTTTGTTCTTTGGATTTTTTCCTTTTTTTTTTATCCCCAGCACTTAGCACAGTTCCTAGCCCACAGTAGGTGCTTGATAATGTTTTTTGACTGACTGACTATTTACATTTGAATATAAGCATTTCTGATGTTGGAAGAAGCATCTCCCCTTTCCCACTTGTAATTTTTTTATGAGAATATATAACATAAGATAAGCAGGAGTGAATGGATTGTAATTACATTATCTTCTTCTCCCCCCACCCCGAAAAAACACCAAAAAACCAAACCCACCCTCTTCTGAACATCCCTATTTCCTTTTAAAGCACCACCATCCTTCTTGGCTTCCAGGTTCTCAACATCCTCATCCTTGACTCCTTTCTTAATTGAAACTTTATTTTTCAAAGTTGCCAATGATCTCTTAATTGTCAAGTTTTGTGGTCCTTCTGTCTCTAATATTCCTGATCTTTCTGCAACATTTGACAATAGTGATCATCCTTTCTTTCCGTACTTACTCTCTTTTTTCTGGTCTCACTTGGTTCATCTCATACTTGCCTGACCTTCCAAATCTCCTTTGCTGGAAACATCCATATCACACACTGTACTTGTGGGTGTGTCCCAAGGCTCAGTCCTAGGCCTTCTCTTTGTACATTCTCTAATTTTTAGTGATTTATGCCCAGCTCTGTCTATCTATCTATCTATCTATCTATCTATCTATCTATCTATCTATCTATCTATCTATCTATCTATCTATCTATCCATCTATCCATCTATCCATCTGTCCATCTGTCCATCTGTCCATCTGTCCATCTGTCCATCTGTCCATCTGTCCATCTGTCCATCTGTCTATCTGTCTATCTATCTATCTATCTATCTATCTATCCCTGATCTTTCTCTTCAGGTCTAGACCCACAATATGAAGTGCCTATTTAAAAGTGATTCTCACAGATATTTCAAATGCAGTATGTCTATGAGAGAATTCCTTCTCTTCCCCTCTTCTGAACTTCTTAATTTCTGTTGAGGGTACCACCATTCTTCCCATCACTCAGATATTCAACTTTGGCCCTATCCTTGACTCCTTTTTTCTCCCCTCACTTCACATATCCATTCAGTCCCAAATCTTGTAATTTCTACTTTTACAACATCTATCACATAAGTCCGCTTCTCCACTGACATAGTCACCACCATAGTTTATTTTTTTAATTTAAAAAAATTTTTTTTTAGGCAGTTGGGGTTAAGTGACTTGCCCAGGGTCATACAGCTAGTAAGTGTCAAGTGTTTGGTCTGAGGCCGGATTTGAACTCAGGTCCTCCTGACTTCAGGGCCGGTGCTCTATCCACTGTGCCACCTAGCTGCCCCTACCACCATAGTTTAGTAATTTATCACCTCTCACTTGGATTATTGCAATAGACTTCTAATTGGTTTCTGTGCCTCAAGTCTCTCCTCACTATAATCCTTTCACCACAGAGCTACCAAAATGATTTTGCTAAATCTCAGGTCTAGCCATATCACTTTACTACTCAATAAATTCTAGTGGTTCCTCATTGACTTTGGTATCAATGATTATTTTACCATATTGTCCTTTTAAGATTTAAATGTCATTTATCTCATGAGGCACGTACTTATTACTAGAGTAACATACATATATTTTATAAGAAAGTAAATAGATACATATTGGAGTCATATACAAAAATTTTTACTGATGGGGTGAACAACAAAAAATTTGGTGATCGTTGTCTAGATCAGATATATCAAATGTGGTGGATGGCTTGTAGGAATCAGATTAAAATGTTATTGGGAAATATTTAACAAAATAAATAAAACTAAAGTAAAACATAGATAACGTTAGTATGTGCTTTTCTAAACCATATTGTGGCTTGCAGAGATCCTTATTTAGGTCTTAGTGGCTCTGTTTCCACGTGAGTTTGACACCAGTGGTCTAGAGTACACATTCCACAACTTTCTTCTTCACCCTTTGCTAACAAAGAACTGAATCACCTCTCAGAGAAATCCAGAACATCAGAGACAAGGAGAGCTGACCTTCCCTAAACTTGCTTATTCAATAACTTCCTTAGGAAAGGTAGATAATTATTTTGGCTTCAAATCCTTTTTCTTCCAATTCCTTCTGGGATAAGGTAAACAAGATATTGTTTACAGTCAGGCCCCACTGATGCAAATAATGAATCCCACAAAATGGTCACATTATTTGAATTCTCACTGCGTATTTTTACTGAGCTGGAACCAAGAGATCAGAATGAGAATTGCATTATTTTCCAAAACTCAAAGCTGAGGTGAATTTATACTAATTTAAGAAAATATACGCTTTCTTGGCTGTAATGAAAGGATAATTTTCATTTAACAAATAAGTAGAAATATTAAAAATCAAGTAAATAAATATAGTTACAATTTTAATGGAACTCATTGTTATAGACCTAGAAAATGTAGGCACTCAGTCTGAGCATACATTACCCTTAATTATTGCATATAAAAATATCAGTATTACAAAACTTAAAGTACTATATAGGTGCCAATATTTTTGTTGTTTTTTATTTCACTGGCCTAGCACTTTGTTTCATCTCAGGAACTCTTAGGGAAGATGTGGTAGGGTAGTGGTGGAAGGAATAAGCATTTATTAAAAGCTCACTATGTGCCAGGCACTGTGCCTAGAGCTTTATAAATATATCCTTCATCCATTTGATCTTGTGAACTCCAAGTAAAGAAATTTCCTGTGCCAATGCGAAGAGGCAACTGCTTTTCAACTTACAGTCTTATAGAGTTACCTTGAGCACTGAGCAGTTAAAGGACTTGCCCAGGGTCGCACAACCAGTAAGTGTCAAAGGCAGCACTTGAACCCAGGTCTTCCCTACCTCAAGAGCCAACTATTTCCATTGAGGTCAATTCATTGCCTTATGTATTAATGTTAGTTGCTATCATTTTAAAATTTTTAATAAGAAGAGATCTACAGCAGTCCTAGAGGTGGCCTCATGTGTTGGCAAGAGCACTGGACTTAAGAGTTAGAAAACCTGAATATGACTTATCTTCCACACTTGCTAGCCACATGACAATGGACAAGTTACTTAAACTTTCAGAGCCTCAGTTTCCTCATTGTTAAGATAACAATAAGAATAAGAATAACTAACATTTATATAGCACTTATTCTGTGCCAGGCACTGAGCTAAGCATTTTTTTTTGCAATTATTATCTCATTTGATCCTTAGAACAACACTGGGAGGTAGATGCTATTATTTTCCTCATATTGCAGATGAGAAAATTGAGGCAATTAGGGGGTAAGTGATTTACCCTAGGTCACAACTATTAATTTTCTGAGGCTGGATTTGAACTCAGGTCTCCTGACTCCAGGCCCAGATTTCTATCCTCTGTACCATCTGACTGCTCCTACCATCTATCTGATAAGGTTCTTATGAGATATGTACTACAAATTTTAAATTGGACATTATCATTACTCTTCCAGCAAAATCCCTCTAAGAAAGTACCTGATAGCTAGTCATAGTGGGGTATTTCTATAATCCCTGCTATTATGGGGAGATTGAGGCTGGTGGATCACTTGAGCTCAGGAGTTCTGAATTGCAGTGGGGCTAACACTGCTCACTTGATCTGCTTTATGTCTGGCACCAAAATGGTGAATCTTCAGGGGGTAGCGGGACCATAAGGTTGCTCAAGGAGGGAGAGACTAGCAAAGATCAGTAATGGAACAGTTCAAAACTTGTGCGTCCATCAGCACTTGGGGCTTGGGTTATGATGACTGCTCCAGGCATTATAGCCTGGGTTAAATGGCAGAAGAAAGGAATCAAGGAAGAAGGAAAGGATTTGACCCAGTGAGCCTTAGTGGGTGTCAAACTTACACTACAGAACAGTGCCTTACACATTAATCAATATTTGTGGGTTAATATCAACATTCTGAAAACAAACATGCTAATAATTTATTATATGTTTTGTGAATCAATTTCAGATTTTCCTATGGATTCAAGCAATGGAAACTGTAGAGGTGCCAGCAGTGGTGAGTACCTTATCTATCAAAAACTTGCATTCTGAGCCTATTTTTTTTTTTAATTAATAACATAAAAAATAATAAGTAAATTCCTTTTTTTTCCCCAAAGAGTCATTTTTATAGAAGCTGACAATATATTGTGTGAAATGGCAAAGAGTATGCTAACCTTGAAGCTCTGGGCTTGAGTAGTCTGAGACCAAGTCTATGGTAGATTGGGGGTGGGGATTTACATCATATGTCCTTGTTTTAAGGGCACTTTATATCCTCTCCTTAAAGAGCTGTATGGCATATTTGCATTTTCAATGATAAACATTTTAACATAATTTTTTCTTGAGAATATATTCAGATTTCCATGGGCTTTTTTTTTTTTCTAAGCCTTAACCTGGTTGGAAGACACTGGTCATTATGGTCAGCATTATAATAATTTCTGCGAATAATTTCAATGTATTTTTTTAACAAAGAATTAATATCTTTTGACTACATGGTAATATTATTGGAGTGGCCAATACTTATAGGACTCTGTCAGTTGCATGTTGGGGGGTGAGGAGAGATTCAGACTTTTCATTTCATCAGGGTGTGGAACTCCTGGTGTGGGAATTTCTTCTACTGATGTAGGCCATTATCTGTCTCAGAGAATTGGTTAGGGGCACCTAAAAATTAATGGATTTACTCATGACTAGTGTGTGTCAGAAGCAGAATTGGAACCAAGATCTTCTAAATTCCAAGCTTGACAGTATTTCCGCTTTCCTGTATACCTATCCTCAATTTAATAATTCTAGATAGAGAATAAAGAGATAGTATCATATAACTGGATAAGCAGAAGAAATGGAGTCAGCAGCCCTGAGGTCGAGACCTGGCTCTCCCACAACAGTCTGTAATCTCTCTTAGCCTCAGTTTGGTTATCTGCAAAATAGGTGTAATAATACTTGCATTACTATCTACCATAGAATCATTGTGAGGATAGCATACGTAAAGCATTTTGTAAAATGCTTAACAAATATAAGCTATAGTAACTTTATGATTTACAAAGAACTTTCTTCAAAATGATCCAGTGAGGTAGGGGTGTTTTCAAGGGAGTTCTCCCCAACCACCTTAATTAGTACAACTTTTTTTTCCCCTAAAATACATGGACATGTGCATTCACATTGTTTAAGAAGTGGAAAAACTCTTGATTGGTGTCCAGTGATTGGAATTGCCTCCAAGATGGTCTTGGAATCTGTGGAGAACAGATTCTTGTTGGAAGAGCTAATGCTCAGTTTTGGCATATAAAAGAGCAACAGAGTGTTCTCAGCCTTTAAAAAAAAACAACTGTTTTTTTTTCTTTATACCTTTCTTCTAGGGTATACCTAGAGTGGGGGTGAAGGGTGTTGGGGAAGAGATAGAAAGTCCTCCCCATAGCACTCAGCGGGGAAAAAAGGCACAAAGGGTTTGGTGAAAAGGTCTAAGACACATAAGCAATCTCTTAGATTCCCCTCATTCCATAAAAAATTACTTTGTATTTATTTATCTGCATTCACGTTGTTTTCCTCCAGTAAAATGTAATATCCTGGAGGATAAGGACTGTTTCTTTGTATGCCTAGCACTTGGGCTGGTGAATGAATGAATGAATAAATGAATGAATGAAAAAAGATTTATTAAGTGCTTGCTAGGTACCAGGTTAAATGCTGGAGTTACAAAAAAGAAGCTATCCCTACCGTCAAGGAGCTCACACTCTAATTGGGGGAGACAGTACATAGGAGAGTGCAGCTGCAGGGTGATCAGAAAGGCCTGGAAATCCCAAGGTCTTTCAAAGACATTGCAGATAGCAAGGTTGAGGGGTCCTCAGGGTGCATCAACAGATGAAATGGTAATGAAGGGAGAGGTTCTGGGGTGGGGAGTAGCAACAGGGCACGTGGTAAAGGCTGGTGTACCTTAGGATGAACTGGCAACCAAATAGTTGAGGCTAGTGGTCCTCCCTTTCTTGAAAACTTTAGATGATAACTCTCGCCTCAGACAAACAGTGTAAAGAGGTGTGAGCCACTGCAACTCTCTTGCCTGTCCCCTCCTTCAGAGCTTAGGGTCCGAGTTGGGGTTGGCTTGCCTGCTGGGTCACCTATGGGGTCTGGACAGCTCAGGAGTCAGGGGAGGGGTGGGTGAAAGGAAAGCAGGCATGAAGGGCACCCTGCTAGCCTATCCTTCTAGCCAAGAGGGGAGGAGGAGGAGGAGGAGGAGCAGCTAATATGATGCTTAATAAACGTTGCTTGAATTGAATTGAATTGAGGAAAGAGGCTCACAGAGGTAAGTGACTGATTGTGGTCCTAATAGAGTTAATAGGCAGCAAAGCCAGGATTCAAAGCCAGTCCTTATAACTCCAAGGGTGCTGCTCCTGTCACTGGGCCACAGTGCCGTCTCAGATGAGCTGTACCAGTCTGTTTGACCAGAAGCTTGGAATGGGTCTCAGCTATCCTGCAGCCAAGCACATAGGCATAACCACGGTGACAACACAGCAGTCCAACATACATAGCTCCTGTAATAGTTCTACATTTTTTTTTTAAAAGGATCTGAATCATTGGCACCATACTGCTGCAACGTGTAAAGGCAGCTTAGTGGGTGAAACAAACCCAAATGCAGACTGGGACTCTCTGTATTTACTGTTCTGGATTTATGACATTATTCTTGTTCCCTGATGAAATGCAAGTGATTAAAGACAAACATACCCTCTCCATCTTGGTTGTGAAATTGCATGGGGAAACTTTCATGTGTTCTTAACAAGAAGATATACTTCATTCAAACTAAGGAAACAGTCCAAGGTGGTCATGATGAAACAAGAAATATCAAAGCTATAAAAATATTGTAATCCATCCAAGCCCTTTCTTTTTTCATTTAGTTCTAAGGAGTTAATTTGTCTTTATATAGAGTTCTAGAGTGAGACCTTCTTTTCTTTTCATTATTGGTTAAGTTACATTTTATCCACACTCAGATGCCTGACAAAAACACACTTTTAAGTTGACCCTCAGCTTTTATACCTGTGTTTTGGGGTAATGACACTGTATTGTTTCCTTTTTGTGATTTAAAACAAAATTTAGGAAGTGTTCTATCTCACCATCATAATAAGGAATAGGTACTTTCTAGGTGATAAAGCAATGAGAATCTTGGTTTTATGCCATAGATCCAGTGCTCATTGAGTTTAGAGACAGAGGGACCTTGGAGATCAACTCATTTGTAAGTTTTTAACCTGGAACCCATCTTGAGTTGATTTCATAGAGTCTGTGAACTTAAATGGAAAAAAAAATCTTTATTTCCACTAACCTCTTGGCTAAAAGTCGACATTTCCTTCAATTATGAACAGGCAACCAACTATATTCTGAGAAGGGGAAGGGAACAAGAATTTAGCTAGTGCCTCTGACGTGCCAGGTACTGTGCTAAGTGCTTTATAAATATTAACCTCATTTGATTCTCATAACCATCCTGGGAGGCAGATGCTGTTATTTATCCCCACTAAACTGAGGCTGACAAAGGCTAAGTTACTTGCCAAGGGTCACTTGGCCGGTAAGTTTCTGAAACTAGATTTGAACTGGTTTTTTTGTTGTTCAGACATTCAGTCGTGTCCGACTCTTTGTGACCCTGTGGACATAGCACACCAGGCCCTTCTATCCTTGTCTATCTCTTACAGTCTTTCCCATTTCATGTTTGTTGTTTCCATGAGATTTGAACTGAAGTCTTCCTAACTCCAGGCCCAGCATTCTATCTACTATGACACCTAGCTGCCTCAGAAGGTTGCACAGGCTTCACCAAGCTACCAAAGGGGGCCCATGACATAAAGCAGTTAAGAACCCCTGGGGTAACTGATCCCCTTCATTATACAGGTGAGTAAACTGAGGCTTATATAGATGAAGTGACTTGCTTGAGGCTACACAGGTAGTTAAGTATTAGAGACATGATTTGAACCCAGCAACTGTGACTTTAAATCTATTGTTCTTTCCATTATACCACACTAATTAAAGCAGTAAGTTTAGGTAGTTATCTAGATCAAACATAAAAACCATTTTCACAAGAGTTGTCAGAAAAATGTTTCCAATTTTTCATTTTTGTGGTTGAGACCGGTTCATGAACTCTTGTGTTTGAAAATTGATGCAGTGATATGCACTCCTATCCCCAGGATGTAAAATATTGTAAGAAAAGAAATATTCAAAGAGACATAATTAAACATTCATCATCTACTAACTAGTTGTATCTAGCTATGTGACATTGAACAAGGAAGTGAGCTTCTCTGGACCCCAATTTCCCCCTATCAAATGAGGTGACTGGGACTGATGATTTCTGTGTTCATTTTCAGCTCAGTTTCTGATTCTATGACTTTCTGTTCTGTGACTATGATCCTTTTCACATTAAGGAGATCACTAGCGCTTTTAGCCCTGGGTTCAGTTGCCCTCTTCCAGATTTTCCTATAAGTAGATTCTTGCTTGGGTCAATTAAAAAGCTGTCAAAGGAAGCTCGCTCTCTCTCTCTGGGAAGCAGAGTGGCAGATGTACCAAGACCCTAATTAGCATAGGCAAAAAGGGCTTTGTCCCAGGGCAACAACATCTGGAGGAAGGTGAAGTCTTCTATCCCATGAATTCAGCTCTCTGCCTTACCATGTGATCTGGTGATACAACCCTTCCTGAGACCCATCTCTCTCTTCCACCCCCCTACTACCCCTATAGTGGCATAGGTGACCCATCCTCCTAGAATAACTGTGCTAATGATAGGATTGCCACCTCTATGCCACCTCCGTGACCTCTGAGAACAACTGAATTTGCTCCACGTCTAGTTATTTCTAGTTAAGATCCTGTTGCACAGGGTTCCTGGCTCTGCCAGGTCTTTCCCTCTTTTGTAATATATGATGTGAGTTTAGTGGGCATAGCAGCCCCCCACATAGCCCCTGAAACCATGAGCTCCTTGAGAAGAGGGATTGTCTTTTGCATTTCTTTGTATTCCCAGAAATTAGCACAGTGTCTGACCCATAGTAAGTACTTAATAAATGATAGTTG